CCGCCGCCCGCATGCGTCACGCACACCCAATCGGGCACACCCCTCACACGTTTCGTGGCCCCACAGGGAGCTCCACCGAACGCCCCAGTGCCGCCGCCCGCATGGTCACGCACACCCAACACCCCTCACACGTTTCGTGGCCCCACATAGCTCCACCGTGCCCCAGTGCCGCCGCCCGCATGCGTCACGCACACCCAATTCGGCACACCCCTCACACGTTTCGTGACCCCATACGGAGCTCCACCGAAGGCTCCAGTGCTGCCGCCCGCATGCGTCACGCACACCCAATAAGGCACACCCCTCACACGTTCCGTGGCCCTTTAGGGAGCTCCACCGTAGGCCCCAGTGCTGCCGCCCGAATGCGTCACGCACACCCAATAAGGCACACCCCTCACACGCTTCGTGGCCCCATAGGGAGCTCCGCCGAAGGCCCCAGTGCTGCCGCCCGCATGCGTCACGCACACCCAATTCGGCACACCCCTCACACGTTTCGTGGCCCCATAGGGAGCCCGAAGGCCCCATGCCGCCGCATGCGTCACGCACACCCAATTCGGCACACCCCTCACACGTTTCGTGGCCCCATAGGGAGCTCCACCGAAGGCCCCAGCGCTGCCGCCCGCATGCGTCACGCACACCCAATTCGGCACACCCCTCACACGTTTCGTGGCCCCATAGGGAGCTCCACCGAAGGCCCCAGTGCTGCCGCCCGCGTCCCGCACACCCAATTCGGCACACCCCTCACACGTTTCGCGGCCCCATAGGGAGCTCCACCGAAGGCCCCATAGGGAGCTCACATGCGTCTCCGCCACCCATCCCGACGCCCCTCACAACAACAGGCTTCGTGGCCCCATGGGGAGCTCCACCGAAGGCCCCAGTGGCACCGCCCGAATGCGTCATCACCCGCACCCAATTCGGCACACCCCTCACACGTTTCGTGGCCCCATAGGGAGCTGTACCGAAGGCCCCAGTGGCGGCGCTCACATGCGCCCCCGCCACACATCCCAGTACACCCCTCACGCGCTTCGTGGCTCCATAGGGAGCTCCACCGAAGGCCCCAGTAGCGGCGCTTACATGCGTCTCCGCCGCCCATCCCGGCCCCCCCCGCAGCAGTATCATGTTTCGGGGACCCATACGGAGCTCCACTGGAGGCCCCAGTGGCGGCCCTCACATGCATTTCCGCCACCCATGTCGGCACGCCCCGCGTGTGTTTCATGTCGCCATAGGGAGCTTCACCGAATGCCCCAGTGGCACCCATCTCGGCACACCCCTCACACGTTCCGTGGTCCTATGGGGAGTTCCACTGAAGATGAAACCCGCAGCTGCGGTACTGACAACTGCACATATGGTTGGGTTCTTCGCCAGGCTAATTGTTTTTTGGGGCCCAGCGCCAAGTAGTCCCGTCCTGGTCTGGAGGCCCACTGTCGAACCCACTCGAGCGTGGATTTGCCCCCTGGACGCTACGTAGATGGGAGATGCGCTATTGGCCAGTATCCGCCAGCAGGCTTAGCTAGCAAAATGATGTGTGCATTCATCAGCAGCGACGGCCACGGCCCCCACACTTCACGCGCAGAAAGTAGATCGCCCATGACTGAGGGCGCGCCGTTCGAGACTATCGACCAGTGCCGCGGTCGAAAAGCATTTGCACCAGCAGCCGCTCGCCTAGAAAAGCGGCGCTATCGCCGAATTGTGACCCCATTCGACACATCGGGCTGTTCACGGTGCCCCAGGTAAACCGTTTGCGAGATGATGGTGTCGCTTGGGAAGCGGGAGAGCCCTGCTGGGGTTCCCACCTGAGATAACTGCCAGCCCTTAGGCTTCGTCCATCGGTGCACGGCTCCTGGAGCATCGCTGAGTGACTTCTGAAGCCACGCCTCGAAGCGCTTGGCCCGCGCTGCTCCGAGGCGGCGCTCTTCAGCAGCAGCCAACCGCTCCAGGACATCGCCTTGGAATTGTAGCACGAAGCAGAGGTAGCCTGGCGGTTGTGCCGCCATAGCCACAAGCGCGCATGATGTAATTCGCGACGTGCGTAGGAACGCGTGCGCGTAATCTGCCGTCCCTGCCATTCCCACCCATGTAATCCGCCAGGTGTGCCCGATCTGGCGTGCGCGCCTTCTGGTGTCCACGAGCGCGTGCGCGCGTGAGATCACGCATGCGCAACTGCAATGTGCGAATCACTCTGGAGTATGGCGCGCCTGCTGGTTATTGCCGTGCCACGGCGCATCCTGCTGTAGTGTACCTGCACCCAGGCCCGTTCGCGCGACCGCTGTATGCCTCGGCCGAGGCTGGCAGATCACAAAGTGGGACCATCTCAGCTTCGGCACCGCGATATAGACACTCTGCGAGCGCATCGAGACGTCGCTGGCGTTCATGGCCAGTCCCGAAACCTTCGGAAGAATCCTTCTGCATCAGATCAGGCCACTGAAACGGAGGGAGCCCGCGATCATGGTAGGTTGGTTCGTCATCATCATCCTCAACTGTGTCGTCTGGCTGCTTGGAGGAGTCCACTGGGAAAGCCTCAGGCCAATCCAGACGATGCAGCTGCTGCGCCCTTGCCCGCGGTGCGAGAGCGACTTGGACGGGGTTGCGCACGCGCGGCGGGGGCCCGCTACGAATGTGAGGTCCGCCCATCGCGGTAGCTGAGCAGTCATTGATCATCCCATAATATATGGTCGAGTACTTGCTTGTCGACGGATTCCTGCAGGTGCCTTCAGCCGCGCGCGCAACGTGGGCATGCAAGCGCAAGGGCAAGTTATAATCCTGTAGACCGGCCGGGGCAACGATCCAGTCGCTTGCGACTGCGAACGGGAGGCTGCATTAGCGCAGGCAATTGCTCAGGGCGGAGAGCCGCTTGGCATTGGCCCCACCCAGCCTCTGTCCTTGCTAGGGGTACGCTGAGGCGACGACCATGCCGCCTCGAAGCCCGCCTTGGACCAGAGCTGCAACCGCGTGCCCAGGAACAGTCACGTGATCTTCAGTTTATGCAGACAGGTTGACCACGCCTATGTGTCGGCGAACAAATACCCTCAGAGCTGCTGTAGGCTTGCTAAAACTCGCCATGCGCATATCTGACCTCTTGCCATGTCTACGCCGACGACATGGAGTAGTACTGGGACCAAGCCCGTCTGGGTGCGGTAGCCTGTCGCCGCCCACATCCTCAGGTTCCTGATCACTGCGTCGAGCTGCTGGCGTCGCGCCCTGGAATAGCGAAGGTACGACTGCCGATCCTGGCCCCGAGCCAGCAGGAGGCGGACCCGAAGTCTGCCCCGTCCTGTCTGGAACCCCAGCATCGACAGGTTGTTTGAAGTTAGACGGTACTTCATTAGCAACATTTGTGTACCATACGCCTGGCACGTCATTCGGTCCATGATGATATGGCAACAGACGTATCTGGCCGTCGACGGACATACGAGGCATGGTGCAGTTGACATTACAAATGATAACCAAGGTCCTCGTCTATTGGCGACTCGGGTGCTGGGGAATTGCCACCTGCATCCCACGCCGCTCCGCCAGGGTGGAGTCCGTCGGTGACGCCTGAAGCTGGCATCGAGCTAGGTGCCGTAGATGAGGGAGATTGCTGCCGAGCCTGCGTGCGCGCCGCCTGTAACTCCTTGAAGTGGTTGTTGAGTGAAGCGGAGCGTGCTGCTTCGCTGCCTGCCGTGGACGAAGTCGTAGACTGAACCACTCGCTCGAGGCGTTCCATGGCGTCACTGATCTGGCGTTCGGTATCATTTGATGTGCTGCCTGTTGTCAATGCAGCTGCTCGAGCTGCAAGAGCTTCAGTACGCGTCTGCTCCACGCGGTAGTGGCCTGGTTGAATTCCGCGAGCTTCTCCTCCTAATCTTTTTTGGACACAAAAAAAACGTAAATTGTTCGCGTAGAACGTCGGGAGTACGATGGGAGCGATCAGTCGCTTCTGTATCTGCAAGTTCACATGATCCGTCTTCGAGTCCCAAACGCCGTAACGCTCCAACTGCCTTCCTAGTTCGGACGACCTCGTCAGAGGCCATTGTGGGCACGTCAAGTGGGGCAGCCTCCTTAGCACGAGACCGTCGTGAGGCTAGCTTTGATGGCGGGCGTGGGCGAGAGGGCGATTGTTCCGGACGAACGGGGGCCTTTGAGGGTCTGGTTGCCCCTTGCGATCTCTTCCGCACTTGTAGCACCGCTTGTTAGAACCAAACTTGCGAGTGAAACAGCACTGCCGAGTGGCGACGCAAGCCCAGCGCGGCTCACGGGCGCCATCTTTTCCACGTCCTCCTTTTCTTCCACCTCCCGTGGAGGCAGAAGAGCCGTGATGCAAGTTGAGGAAGTGACGATCTCGACAGCCTATGTCGGGCCTGACTCCGAGCACGCCGAAGTTGTCGATGCCAGGCCAGTGACCGTTATCTGGTATAAGCCGCCCCTTAGCGCCAGGATCTCCCGCACCGCGCAAGACAAGCGCCACGCCGCGCTTACGGCGTGTCAGGCGCAGCGGCCACGATGACGGGCCAATTGCTGGGGGCACCGTATCAGAGATTCAGCACCTCGTGCCCCCCTCACCCCAAGGAGGAGAAGGACGAGGAGGAGGAGGAGGAGGAGGAGGACGACGATCTGTTTCTTCTGGTAAGATTCGCTTCCGCCGTGGATCCTGACCCCAGGCGTCACCGAAGGCCCTCGGAGGCCCCCAGAGATCCCCAAAGTGACAGCGTTTCAAGCACATACAGAACATTATATCCTCGACCGTCCTGGGTCTGGTGCGAACCGTCGTAGCACATTCACTTCGTCCTCGCCCTCGCCTCGACCTCGTCCTCCTCGTCCTCGCTCTCCTCGCCCTCGTCCTTCTCTTGACCCCGTCCTCCTCGACATCGCCCCACTCGTCCTCGTCCTCCTCCCTCCTCTTCCTCGTCCCCCTTCTCTCCTCGGCGGCGGCGGCGGCGGCGGCGACGACGACGCAGATGCCGACGCCGACGCCGACGCCGACGCCGACGGTGACGCCGACGCCGACGACCGGCAACGGACAGCAGGTCCCGCCTGGCTGGGGGCGCCCGGAGGGCGAGGGCATCCTGGACTGCGACATGCCCCTGTTGGCCGAGCCCCCCGCGGGGCCGGCAGGCAAGACCTCCCACGGCAAGGCCCCCGCGCCTGCGAAGCCGCCCGCCGGGCCGCTGCCGCCGTCGCCGGCCACTCCCCTCAACGAGGGGGGCCCAGAAGGGTCTCTGAAGATATCCGCAAGTTTTCAGTGGTTTTCTGGTCACGCGGGGCGGTTTCCATAATCCCCGTTTCGCCGATGTCGTTGAGCAGGGCTTCTGCAGGTCTCGAAGAGCGTTCGTTCGCTGGCCACGGGGTGGTTTCCATTCTCTGCGCCTCGTCGAGGGCTCCCTGGCGACGCTGGAATCATTCCGATTGTCGGCCCGACGCACGAGTAGTGGCTCGAAAACCGTTGCCCTCGAACTAGCCTGAAGTAGGGATCCTGAGGGAAACGAGTCCTCATTCTTCGCCGTTGGCCCTCCTGGGGCTGTGGAGGGCCTCAGGGCAGGAGCGTCAAAAAGCGGCTCGGGATGATGCGCCCCCAAAGCGCGTCGAGGATGATGCATCCCAGTGTCCAGTGTGTTCTGCTGTTCCGCGCGGTCTCGCCGGTAACGTGAGGTGCTCCAGGATTCCTGGGGCGCATCCCGGGCCAATGCATCATGGCATCATTCTCGTTTTCGAAGCGGCAGAGGTAAGTTTCCGGATGCCCGTGCGGACGGATTTCTTGGGTCAGCGTCGGCCCCCTTGGCGCGCCTCGCCTCCTTACCTCATCCGCACTGTAAAGTCCCTCCTTCTTCCACCCCTCCTCTGTGTTATCTCCTTCTGCCCCCCTCCTCCACATTCTCCCCCCTTCTCCTTGATTTTCCAGAGCGCAAGAGAATACTTCTCGAGACCTACCTGTCAGCGCTGCTCCAGGCCTCGGCTAAATCTTGAACTCAAAGGTGCTGGGGCTGTCTTTTCGCCCCTCTGGATGGTCGGGGCTCCCTCGCCACTTCCCCATTTCGTTGCCCCCACCTCCCCTCCTTCCCCCCACTCCCCCTCATCGCTCAGAGCTGCACCCGTGGCAGGACACAGCGTGGCGCCACCTCCTCCTTTGCCGCGCTGTCCACCCCCCGCTCAGCCCCTCCGCACGGCGCCCAGGACCGTCTGGCCTCGTGGATGCTCCGGAGCATCGTGGCTGGCGTGAACGGCATGCTCGCCGACGTTAAGCGCCTGAAGTGCCCCAAGGGCCACAACCGGGCGAAGGCCCGCCTCCTTCTCCTCCGCCCTCTCCCCCCTCTCCACTCTTCTCCTCCTCCTCCTCCTCCTCCTCCTCCTCCTCCTCCTCCTCCTTTTCCTCCTTCTCCTACTTCTGATGCTTTTCCTCCTCCTGTACCCTCCACCTCCCCACTCTTATCAAACTCCCCCCTCTTCTCCACCCCTCCCCTCCTCCTCGTCCTCCCGCCTCCTCCCCATCCCCCCTCCAGTCGCCGCGTAGCGTTCCTGCCTGTATCGAATTGGAATGCGTCGAGTGTGTTCCACCGACGATCTACAAGACTGAGAGGGATACTGATCGTTAGTGGTGCTCTTCAGTGTGGAAGGGCCGGGCGGTCTACTGTCCCTGGGTCCCTGGGTGCGTGGCTGAGGTGGGGTTCCGCGGTGCCGATTCTTGTTGTGTTGTGTTGTGTTGTGTTGTGGTGTGTTGTGTTGTTGTGTTGTGTTGTGTTGTGTTGTGGTGTGTTGTTGTTGTTGGTGGTGGTGTTGGTGGTGGTGATAGTTTTGTTATTGTTGTTGGTGGTGGTGTTTGTGTTATTGTTGTTGTTGCTGATGCTGTTGATGTTGTTGTTAGTGTTGTTGTTGTTGCTGCTGCTACTGTTGTTGTTGTTGTTGTTGTTGCTGTTGTTGTTGTTGTTGGTGTTGTTGTTGTTGTTGGTGTTGTTGTTGTTGTTGTTGCTGTTGTTGTTGTTGCTGTTGTTGTTGTTGTGGTTGTGGTTGTTGTTGTTGTTGTTGTTGGTGTTGAACATTATTTATTCTAAAGAATAATTATTGTTGGGCCCCCTGGTGCGCGCCCCCCCTGCGCCGCCTAGGCCGCAGCTACATTTTCATCATTTTCGTGAGGAAGCCTCAGAAAAGAGGGTGTGTACAGGATCCGGTTGTTTTGTTGTAATCCGCTTTCCCTTGCAAAAAACAATAGAAAATGACATTTCTTGTTCTAATATAATCAAATTTCAAGAATCCCTTGCAAAAAATAAGGTAAAGTGGACATTCGCGCGCGCAAGACGAAATCCTTCCAAAACCTTAGTGTTCGCAACGATTTTAACATAAAAACATCAAAAAACCAATGGTTTTTCAACAAAAAAATGTCAAAATCTCATCCCGCGCGCTCTTGCGGATTCGTAGGAAACCCAACACTTTTTAAACATTTCTGTCAAACGGGCTTTTGCGAGCAACTTTTTCGAACTTCTGCGACAACGGTTGCGCACCTGCCAGGGCCATCATCCCTGTCAAATAATACCATGCGGGACACATTCGTTTTTTCTTCGCGCGCGCACGCCGTCGTCGTCGGCCGCGGGGCCCTGAATAGTAGCCACGGTCGTCCGCATGCCACGAAGTGAAGTGTCCGAACGTCATAGGGCGGGAAGCTGGGTGTGGGTGGTGGCGAAGAGTCGTTTGGAAATTTGGTAGAGCTTGAACCGGCCCCCCCACAAAGTGGGGGTATTGCCCGCCTCCTATGAAAACCCTGGCACTGGTGAGAACGGAGTGTCCCCACGTGCTAGTAATTGTTGTTGTTGTTGTTGTTGTTATTATGTTGCACCTTACATCTTAAAACCGTCATTGTCGTTGGACCCACTGGATGCGCTCGGGCGCTCTCGCCTCGGCGCCGGCTCCATCTCGCGCTCAAGCGTTTCGTGGGTCTGCCGAAACAGGCCCCCCATCAACAACAACATCGCTCCCGCTTGAAAATCATTGCTTTTTCACGACGGGTTTTCTTGGTCGCGCCGGAAGGTGGCCTTCCAACAAAAGCAGCGCGTCCGCTCGATACTTCCTCGCTGTTTACTCTTGAGCGGCGCTGTCGACTCGGCGCCGCAAAGCGGCCCCGCTACAATAACAGCGCTCCCGCTCGATGCATCCTGTTTTTTCATTCAGGACTGGTGCTCTCGCTCGCCGCCGAAACGCGGCCGTCCAACAAAATTGGCGCTCCCGCTCCACACCTCCTCGCCTTTTACTCAGCAGTGGCGCTGTCGCCTCGGCGCCGCAAACTGCCCCCCCTACTCTAACAACGATCCCGCTCGATACATCCTGCTCTTTACTTAGGGCTGGCGCTCTTGTTAGCTGGCCGAATGTTCCTGCCCCTGCAATAAAACCAGCGCTCCCGCTTGATTCGCTTTCGTTTTGCACCCAAGAGAAGCGCTCTCGCTCCGGTGTAGCACGCCGCCCCTCCTGCAGCAGCAACGCTCCCGTTCGAGATGCCCTAGCTTCTCACCGAGGAGTGGGGCCCTCGTCTCACCATCGCCTCTGGAGGGCTTCCGGGTGGCCCCAGGAGTGCCTGGAGAGGTGCCAGCAAATTCTCTGGATGACCCCAAGACAGCCCAGAAGAGCCCAAACACAAGCCAAGAGGACGCCAATACGGCCAGAGGAGCTCCCAAAGAACCTGAAGGCATACACACATTGCCTAGGGAGCCTCCGGAAGCTTCCAAGAGAACCCTTGAATACTCTAAGAGACCCCCAATATGCCCAAGGACAGCCCCACACGGCCCCAGCAGCCCGCAAGGTAGTTGCGAAAGTTCAGAAGGATTACCCACGTCTGCTCGTGCTCCTCGTCTCCCTTTTTTCTTTTACGGTGGATTGGTTGTAGTTCCCCCCAACGCGATGCCCCCCGAAGAACGTATATCATCCATCCCTCCTCCCTCCTCGTCCTCTCTCCCCCTCCCTCCCCGCCCCCCTTGCCCCTCCTGAAGTGCCCTTCTAGCCCTGTGGCCAAGCGAAGGCCTTGAAGATCGAGGCGGACTGGCGCAACTCGCTCCTGTCCGACCCAGCGGCCGCGGCGCCCGGCGCGGGCGCCGACCCCGACTTCGTTGCACGGTGCGCCCTCGCCCTGAACTGCAGCCGCGGCCAGGCGCCCGAGTAACCCGGCGCAAATGAGATGGCGGCCCAAGCCAGCCTCGAGATCGGCCCGATCCTTGAGATGGAGAAGCCCGAGGCGATGGCAACCTTTGGAATGCGCCCTCGGAAACGTGGGACGCCCTCAAGGTCGGCACCGAGATGTGGCTGTGCCAATCTTAGGGATCGGGACGTGTTGCAGGCTGGTACGGGCTGCCCGCAGCCGCGGTCCTGCGCCGCGGCGGCCCGGCGCGATCGGTGCGCTGTCGCCCGTGTCCGCTCGCGGCGCCGCCGCCGCCCGATCCGTCATCACTCCTGGGCATCCCTTCCTGATCTCCTCCCTGTCCTCCTTCCCTCACCGCCGCCGCCTCCGCCACCCCCACCTCCCGCCTCTTTCGCCTTCCCCCCCCCCCACCTCCGCATCCACCCTCCAACACGTCCACCTCCAGCCCCAACGTCCACCTCGCGCCTCCCCCCTCCTTTGCCTCCAATCCCCTCCCCTTTCTCCTCCCTGTCTCCGCCCCTCTCCCCCGCTCCTCGGAGGTCTCCAGAATTCTCTGCAAGCCCCTAGAGGCCTCCAGAAGTCCACGGAGGCTTCCAGAGGCATCCGAACTCTGAAGGCAAAAACAATTTCAAAAGAGTGATCCATACTTTGATCCCCCGCTCGTCCTAGGCCCCCGTCGTTGCTGCCGCCGCCGCCGCCGTCGTCGTCGTTGTCGTTGTCGTCGTCGTCGTTGTCGCCGTCGTCGCCGCCGCCGTCGTCGTCGTCGTCGCCGCCGTCGTCGTCGTCGTCGTCGTCCTCGTCCTTGTCCTCGTCCTCGTCCTCGTCCGCGTCGGCGTCGGCGTCGGCGTCGGCGTCGTCATCGGTGGCGTCGTCGTCGTCATCGTCTTCGTAGTCCTATGCTCTCCTGGCCCTGCGGCGGCGCGGGCTGGCGCAGGTGTCGCTCAAGCGGGCCAAGGACGGCGCCGCGGCGTTGCACCCGTGCAACGAAGCACTGAAGAGCCACAGGAGCCGCCCTGCTCCACCGTCAGAGTTCAGGGGATGACATGTGTTCTAAGGACCAAATCGCAGGTGTTGCAGCGTGCACTAGTCTCCAGGCCGGCATTCTGCCTCCTCTCTGATTTTGCAGTTGTGTGTTCCGTCTTTCTCGTTTTGGCCTGGTTGATATCCGTTCTTGCGATTGCAGCCCCTGCCCCAGTGTGGACTGCCCGATGTATGTGTTGACGCGCTGATGTCCGATGTCTGCGCGGGGCCCTTCGCACAGAGAAGCGTGCCCTGGAGGGGGATCCTCAGGGCCAACACGCCGCGGTAACCGTGGCCCCCGCGACGCCTCGCTAGGGGGGAACGCCTGCCCCCCTCCCCCCCTCCGAAGAACATGCGCATAGCTCCGCTGCTGAGGGGCCGTGCCCTGGGACCTTGGGGAGCAGTGGATGCCAGTGCGTATCTGCCCGCCCTGCGGGCGGAAATTGTCGGCGCTCCACAGGGGGGCCTCAACGTCGAGGAGTCGAAGGCGTCGATGTCTCGTCCCTTCCTCGGTGGAATGCGGCGGAAGCAACACGGGGGCGGTTTCGCCAGCGGAGGCTGGCGGGCGGCTGGCAGAAGCCCGCAGAAGCGGAAGGCAGGTCCTCAGCGCGAACATGCTTCAACACACGAGCAGGTGAGAACACGACCATGATGCAACGCACGCCCGTAGCCATCCTGGCTCAAGCGGCGGAAACCGTGTAGCCCCGTTCGGGGCGGCAGTGAGTGCTGTTGTGCCCGGTGCCGACGCCGGCCCCTTCTCCCTCTTCCCCCACCTCGCTTCCTTCCTGGTCGTCTTCGCGTTCTCCTCCCTCCCTGACGTCGCGGCCGCGGCTCTGAACAGCCGGGTCTCCTGGCCGTTTCTCGGCTGCACCGCCGCGGCCAGGACGCACCGAGTCAGTGGCATGTCGATTCCACGGCGCGGAGGGCTGGCCAGAGGATTTATCAATCGAAGTTGGATGCAGCTTCGCACGCTGCGTTCGGAGTCCGCCGAGTCCGTCGAGAACGGCTCGCGCTCCTCTCCCCTTTCCTCCCCTCCGAACCAGCTGCATACCTACGGCGGACGCGCATGTCGCCTCGTTTGTCTCTTTGGCAGTCGTCGAGATCGACTCCTGCGAAGCGATGCGATGCGACCACCGTTGCAGACAGCGTCTGGGCCTATTCAGGACCGGGTGGGCGAGACCGTGGCCTCGAGAATCTGACGTGACTGGACAACATACAATGCGAGACAAATGCGCAAAACAATTAGGAGGAGGGACGGAGGGAGGATTGTCCTTGGTGTCGGTCGTGTCAGCCCGTGTGGGAAGAGAGGAATGGGAGGAGGAAGAGGAAGAAGTCCTTGGTGTCGGTGTCGACGTAGGATGTCTCGTTGGACGTTCGCGTCATTGACTTCGGTTCTGGGTGTCTGCTGGTGTGGGGTCGACGGAGTGGCGCTCGAGCGCCGTCTATGTTTCGGTGTCCTTGAAACGATGTGTGTGTGTGTGTGTGCACATGTGCTGCCAGTTGCGCTCGTGGCTTTATCGGCGTACAGGGGGGCCTGGTTGCGCTCGCTGGCCGAAGAGCCAGGCTGCCTGCCCCTAACAGAGACATGCATCCCGTGCAAGCGATGCACCATATGCAACCAGTCTACGGGCAGCGCGTGCAATGGATATGCTGTCATCCTCCGTTCCTGATGCACCTGTTGTCCTGGCAACTGGAGGATGAGCTACACGTGCAACCATTGCAACAGATACAGCTAGCACCTTGACACTCTGTGCGTGCGGTGTACGGCCATGGTCTCTTCACTTTGCAGGGGTTGCCGCGAGGAGTGCGTGAACTGGGCTCGGCGCGTCGCCTTGCAGCAGATTTGGTGCGTTCCCATCCCAGACCCTCCGTGGACACACCTGTTCATTGCAGAAGTGGTGCACGCACCATTACACCATAGAGAAGAAGATTGGGTGCCAGGTCCCGCCCTGCCAGGTCCTGCATCCTATCGAAGACGCCTACGGCGAATCACCGCCGCCCTGGCTTTTGGAATCGCCCATGGGTCCGAGCGTTGTAGCAAGAGCCCTGTCAAGGTATCGGAACGTGTGTTCCCCCAGCCGTTGTTGAAACACTTCGGGGAACACTTGGGGGAGGATGGCGGGGAAGATCAGGAGGATGACTAGGAGGAGGAGGAGGAGGAAGAGGAGGAGGAGGAGGAGGAAGAGGAGGAGGAGGAGGAGGAGCAAGAGCAGAGGGAGGAGGAGGAGGAGGAGGAGGAGGAGGAGGAGGAGGATGAGGAGAAGGAGAAGGAGGAGGAAGAGAAGGAAAAGGTTTGGGCATCGTGGGAGCCTCTGGGGGCACTCGTGGGGCCTCCTGGGAGCTTCCTGGGAGCCTCTTGGAGGCATCTTGGGGGCCTCTTGGGGGTCTTTGGGGGCTTCTCGGGGGCCTCTCAGCCTGTCTCAGGGCGTTCCTGGCCCGTCTGGCGCCGTCGGAAGCCGTCTTGGGGGGCCTCTCTGGGCCGACCTGGGGCCCTCTTGGGGTGCTCCAGGGCCGTCTTGGAGGCCATGTTGGCGTCTTGGAGGCCTCTTGGGCCGTCTTGGGTCCTCTTGGGGATCTTCGTGGCCTCTTTGGCCGTTCTGGGGCCATCTTGGAGGCCTCTTGGGCGATCTTGGGGCGATCTTTGAGGGCTCTTGGGCCGTCTCGGGCCGTCGCAAGGCCGAAAAGAAACACATGCTAAAATCCTTCAACAGTCTGAGGCTCTTCGGGTCTTCCTGGAGGCCCTCTTGGGACCTCTTGGGCTGTCTTGGAGGCCTCTTGGGGGCCTCTTGCAGACCTTCTGGGCCGACGTAGGCCATCTTGAGGCCATCTTGGGCCGTCTTGGGTGCATCTTGGAGCCATGTCGGGGTCTCTTGGGGCCATCTTGGCCGTGTACTTGGCCGTCGGAGAGGCCATCTTGAGCCGTCTTGGGTTTTTTTTGGCGGACGTCGAGGCTGTTTCCAGGCCCTTCCGGGTGGCCGGCGCAATGGACCGAAGCCCCAGGGGGAGTTCTTTTGGAAACGAGCCAAAACCAAGCCGTATAGGATTTAGCACGCCAGGCACCCCTGTGACAAGATCACATGGGGCGGTGGATATACTGTCCTCTGGCTTATCCCGCTACCGTGCCTGGGTTGTGGGTCAGAGTTCTCAGGGATGCTACTTCGGGCCTTTTCGGAGCGCTCTCGGGAGCCTCTTGGGAGCAGTGTGGGGGCCTCTTGGGGGCCTATTGGGGGCCTCTTTGGGGCCTCTGGGAGGCCGTTTGGGTGCCTCTTGGGGTCTCTTTCGGGCCTTTTGGGGGCCCCTTTCGGGCCTTTTGGGGGCCCCTTTCGGGCCTCTCTTGGGGGCCTCTTGGGGGCCTCTTGGGGGCCTCTTGGGCCCCCTGGGGGCCCCGTGGGGGCCCCTTGGGGGCCTCTTCGGGCGGAGAGCTCGATTTTCTGGTTCGTGTTCCCATTCTTAGGCCCCTCTTGGGGCCGTCTTGGGGCCCTCTTGGGCCGTCTTGGGCGCCTCTGGGGCGTGTCGCGTTCCTCGGTTCTGCTTGGTGGGGGGGGGTCCTGAGTGAGCCCCATCTACCTGATCCGTGCGCCGCTGTCGGGATGCTTGTGTAGCGGTCGCGCCCTCAGCTGCGTCTTGGTCCCGTGGCACGCTCGGCTCAGGACCCTCCGCACCCACGCCGGGGCCTGGTACAGCCCTTGGAAGGCGTCTGACAGGGAGGCGCGGGACACTGCTCTCGCCGCCACCAGGGCTCCCGACCCCTGCCTCGGCGTGGTTGAGAGTCTGGGCAACAGGCAGTTCTGGCAGGGCGGGGAGACCGCCGAACACCCCGGCATCCGGGGCGCCTCGTTTTCGGCCCTCGCCCAGGCCCCCGGCCCTTCTGCCCAGGGACGGACGGGGAAGGTGACGGATCTGACCACACACCTGGTTACCCTCCCCAGGTCCGCGGAGATCCGGCAGCGTGTCTTGATCCAGCGTGTGGCGTCTAAGCGGCGCTGGGCGGCTCCTTTCGGTTGCTCTTCGCCCGTGGAGCTCGCGCGCCTTCTTCGCCCGTGGAGCTCGCGCGCCTGACGTTCAGGAGCGTCTCCTGGACCAGGTGCACGTGATGGTGTCAGCGCAGGTGGTGGGCGGAGCGGTTGACCCTGCACCCGGTTTTGGGCACCTCTTTGCAGGCCCTGGGAGCGGCGACCGACTACCCCGCCTCGCCTTTGTGGCCTTCTTGCGTGGGCCGCCATGCTGCCTCCTTTGGGCTTCGCCGGGCTCCGCCTGTCCCCGAGCCGGGGTTTTTGGTTGCTCGCCGACCCTTGCGTCCAGGCTGCCGTGCAGCGTGCTGCGGTCCCGTCTGCCCTTGCCCCTTGCCGCTCTCTTGGGGAATCCTGGCCTCGTAGGCGCATGTATCGCTTCCGGCGAGACTGGCCAGCACGCCCTTTGGGCCGTGGCCTGGTCCCTCCTCCTGCAGCCTCGCCAATGTCTCCCGTTCAGGAACCTGGCATCGAGGTCGTCGACGTCGAGGCCTCGAGCGCGCCCGGGCGGGACTGGCGCCGTAGTTTGGGACCACAGTCGCGATCGCTGCTCAGCGTCTGGTGAGGCGAAGCGGCTCGGACCCCGAGCCGCAGCGTGTGCCCACGCCTCCCCGAGGCCCGTGCCCGCCTCGGCGCCGAGGTCGTAGTCCCGTCGGACTAGTTCGTGGGCGGCCCAGCCCGGGGTCACGGCCAAGTCCGGCTGGGTCACTTTCGGGGTTGGTTCCTTGGTCGAGCGCCGGGCGGCGCTGCAGGTCGTGGCCTGCCGCTTCGGCCTCGAGGTCCTTTGTGCCACCCCTCCCCAGCGGCCTCAGCGCCGCAGTCGGCGGCGGCCCAGGCGGCGGCGTCCCCAGAGGCGACTCTGACCACGCGGAGGCGGCGGCGGCGGCGGTGGTGGGCCCCGACGACGCTTCCGACGATGCTGTCGACGCCGATGACGATTCCTTCCCGCCCCCCGTCGGCGGCCCCACCCCCGCC